ATGAATGTAGTAACATTAGCAGCAGCATAAAATGGCCCGCTACATTAAGTGCTCTAGGTATATTAAAAACATCAGAATCAGAAACAACTTTATTAGTTACACAGCAGAGACATTTAAATTCTTACAGCAAAGTAGACAGTTTAGATAAAAAGCTAAATAAATAATAGACGTTGAGTTAGGGGGCAATCACTTTAATAAAAAAAGTCAAATAAGTACACATCCAAACTTGAAAAGATATAAGTTGCATTATACAGGTAAGTGAACAAATAAAATAAAATATGATGTAGCATCCAAAGAATACATGAATTAAATGCAAATGAGTATATACTGTACGGTGTTACATCACAGAAGTGTTTTTGCAGTCTAAAGTAGTGCAGTAGAATCCAGGAATAACAATATTTAATTGTACAAAAAGAAAAAAATCCCTTTTTTGAACACTATATTGAACCTGATAAGTGTCGTGCAGTGCTTTGCTTGTGATGTTAAGGAGACACACAACTTCAGGACAGGTGCTTTCAGAAGGAAGACAATTATAAAGAGTAAGAGGTGTCTTTTAAAACTTGAAGGCCCTTATTTTGAGGTCTACCCAAAGAGAGAGTTGACAGGAATTACAGGCTTGGAGGTTTGTAATAGCTGTGCCGTCATGTCTTGTACTTTTCTCTCTCTCCAACTCCAGGAAACGTATCTAATGAAACACATGAGGAAGCACAACCCCGACCCGCTAACAGTGGCCGCGACATTCGCCGCTCAGCAGTCCCAGGGCCTCACACCGGGGGGGGGCAGGGGCCGGGGCCGTGGCAGAGGGAGAGGGGCTGGAGGTGCAGGCAGAGTGGGCCAGCTCCACAGCCAGAACCCCAACAGCCAGAACCCTAACCCTGGAGCACCAGGCAGCTACCAGCAGAGCCAGCAGCCCCCCGAGGCTGTGGTCCAGTGCCCGTTCGACCTGCACCAGTACAAGACAGTGTCAGCCAGCGAGATCCAGTACAAACCGGTCTCTGTGGCAGACCTGCCAGTGGCACACAAAGACCTCTGCCTCACCGTCTCCACCTCAGCCATACAAGTGGAGCACATGAACTCATAGATCGAGTCTTCACACTTTGAGGAATTACTGATTGAGTCCGCAGTGTAAAAAGGTTGATATCAAAAACGTAATTTAATTCTATTCACTATTAAGTTCTTCTTTAACAGGAAAAATGGCTATGTTAAATCCCAATGCAATTTTTTCCTTCATTTTAAGAAGCTTTAATGCTGAGTAGAATAATAAATTACTCGTTAGAACACAGATATTTTACAATGTGCTTCTCGATTCCTGAGCCTACTTGTGCCAAGTATCTCTCAGTAGAAATGCTGGTGTTGGACACTGATATAAGCAGTTTATTATTTAGGCTAAAGCCACATTACTTCAGTTTGTGATAACTTAACCAAAACCTAATCTGAGATCACGTTTGGCTTTTACATCATTATGAATGAAATGGTGATTAAAACCAGACCTGAATTTCTCTAAAGCATGTTTCATCTAATTTCAACGAGTCAATGGACTTTTGTAAAACAGACCTAATACACTGATCCGAAACCAGCAGTCCTCTGAGGATTTTGATAAAAGAGGCTCACTGGTGTCGCTTCTCTTTTTTTTATTGCATTGTTTGCAATGAAGATGTAAAATATCTGTACATTTAAAAATGACACTTCTCTCTGCACGTTTATGGTACAGGGAACGGTGTAATTTTGAGCACATTCAGATCACATTAATCTGAACATTCTGCATTATTTAGTTCAAGCCAAAACAAGGGAGAGAAACAAGACAAACAAAGAAGAAAGACTGTAAGGAAGGACTTAGTGAATAAGTGTGGATGACTTATGAATGACACCTTTTACTGTACATCGAGGTTGGATCGGGAACGCTAAATTGGAACCAGAGAAAAGACCACAACAGAAGAAGGGCTGGAGAAGGAAGATGATGAGGTGTTTTATTGGATCAGCCTAAAACTTGGCTGAGTCTTGAAGTGTTCACTTCAGAAATCATGAGGGGGGGTTGAGGAACCATTTCCTTGTCTGAGCCCAAAGTATTGAACAAAAGAGACGGGCCGCTTTAAGAATGCACTTAATATGAGAAATCTGCAACAAAGTGAGAGAAAAACGGTTCTTGGTGGGAGGGGTCAACGAGAAAGCACTTGATGAAGCTTGTACTTCATGTCTATGTTTGTCATTATTGTACTTTTTTTTATATATCATATGTATGTATTTTTCTACCAACAGAGAAACATGTGAACAAACGCTGAGAGAAAGCATAGTGATGCATGAATGTGAAGGGAACAGAGAGACAAGTCCTAACGGAGTGTTTTTGTCCCATTATTTTCTTTTTGTTACCATTCAAAGAAAGTAGTAAAAAAAAAAGGCCCAACACAACATAGTCAATTGTTGGGGAAATAATGATTGTGTGATAAAAATGGCTGACAGGTACTGTTATCTTTTTTTTTTTTTTATAGAACTATTCATACATATTATTACTACTTTCATTATAACTATTTCAAATCGTATCCACATTATTATCAATCTGAGGCATTATGGTATTGCAGTATGCTGTAGATAGAAAATACTTTTTTCATCTGTAAAAGGGAAGTATGTCCTGTGTAAAGAATTTATGGAAACTAAAGGAACTCTTGTTAGCATGTGCCAAACCATTGGCTGCCTCGCAGGTCACATCGATCATAACTTCAAAAACCTGCCAAATAAAATAATTTCAAGGCCTGAGAAGTTTGGGAATAATTTGAAAAGTTGATGACGCTATCGGAAATCATTTGATCGAATTATGATGTTTTTGACGACGCAACATTTCCTGCATTTTAAGCCCTGCTCTCCCTTTGCACACGGTGATATTTATTCTAATAAGGATGTAACATAAAATGGTTTAACTAAATTAATATTATAATACTTAATGTGTAGCAATATAGGCAAGATTATTGTTGAAACAACAATCTTGTTCACCAATGAGAATTCCTTCAAACTGAGAGTATAGTTTAATGACTAAATTATAGATCTGTGACCTGGGACACTGCTGCCATGTTTTTGTGCACACGCTATCTCTACCCAATCAGAATGTGCAGGCAGCCTGTAACCGACTGCTTGTCTTCATGTATACTCCTTGTATTTCATTGTGACTTTTTATGAAAAATAACAGATTCTCAATATTCTTGTTAATGTTATTACTGATGCTCCTGATAATAGTACAGTTATGCCCTCTTATGCTACTCTTGCATACTGTATGCACAATTACACCTCTTGCTCATCTGAACAGACTGTTTCTTCCCTAAAGGAGAATAAAGTTCGAAAAATTGTTTATGATGAAAAAAACGCAATTGTCTGATTTCATTTTTCCAACTAAAGACTGTGTGCTACTGACAATAACGTATTATTATGTCATGCATTTTTGAATGTTTTGATCAAACATAAGTTCAAAGTGTCTGAAATATTTTATAATATCTCTATCTCAAACTTTAAACCACACTTATTGTCAAGGAATAATTAATTGAGTAAATTAGTCAGTTTAGCAGACACAATTAGTTTTGTTGTAAAAACATTCGAGCAGCCTTTGGGATTGATAATTATCAACACAATGTTGTAGATCATCTGCTGAGACATTACAGGACAATCAATATGTATGTATCCCAAAATATCGATACTTCCGATATTACGTTACGTTTCAAAATATCGATACTAGAGCCAATAGGATCGATACTTTTATACTTCTTTTTTTCCTCTCCTCTACTCGTCAATTTCATCAAAAAACTATGTGCAGAGTGCAGACGAACACAAATGCGCTCTTTTCTTCTCTCTCCAGTCTCCACTGCTGTCCTCCTCTCCTCGAGGCTCGCGCACGCGCAGCGCGCTCCCTGCCTGAACGCCGATTATCAAGCTGACTGACAGCAGCCAGCAGGGCAGGACAGCAGCAGCCAGCGACTCGCGAGTGCGACACACACACGCGCATGATGGCGTCACGTCATGGCGTGAGAGAAAGAGGAGCGTTGTGTGGAGCTATTTCACAACTGTCAATGAAAACTTTGCGAACTGTAATGTGTGCAAGAAGGCAGTTCGCTACTGGGGCCACTTTGTATTGTTATTTTTCACGTTTATACTTTAAATTTGCAAAAGTAAAACGTTTATTTGTCTATAAAAACTGTCCTGTCTTTAATCATGAAAATGAATACAGATTTTTAATTTTTTTTAATCTTTAATACTTTTTGTATGCATGCTTTAGGTAACATTAAGCTGTCTTTAGCTCTTGTATGTATCCCCTGTGGGACGAATAAAGGTATTCTGATTCTGATCGCAAAAACCAGGGTTGCGTTCCAATAGTCCATTTAGCTTAGGAACCTTCCTAACCAAGTGAAATGACCCGGAAGTACGTGAGTGGCAGCCATGTTACGTGCCGTTCCAATTCTCCAAATGAAAGGAAAGGAGGTTTCAAACTTCCTTTATAACCTCCATTAGTTTAGGAACCACTGGACCTCNGATCGCGGCGAAATTCTCTCTGCAGACCCATTCTCACAGCGTTTATCAACCTTTTTCTTACTCAATATCAAGCCACACTTATTGTTTTTACTTCGGCTGTGACTTTGTGTGTGCTCAGGGTGAGTTTGGCTGTGTTTCGCTGTCGCTAAACAAGGAAACCACACCTCCACGGAGCTCAGCGCGATTCACAACGTCCCAATCAATCAGAGCACACTGTGCTCACAGGGAGGGTGGGGGCTGGAGCTATTGGAGCTACAATGAGCCGTTAAAGGCACAGTGAAATTTAGTGAATACACATAGTTTACAGAGATGCTGTATGAGAAACCAAAGTGATTTTGGAAAATTGCACAATATAAATCTATTCTAGTGGACCTCAACAATGGAATTATGATCAGTGGAAATGGCCATGACATGGGACCTTTAAAGTATATTACATTTTGTTAAATGTTTCTTAAATAAAAAATGTAATGTGTTTGATTATGTGTGTGCAGCCACTCTGTGTCTGGTGGACTTGGCTGGCAGTGAGCGCTTGCTGAAGAGCCAGTCTCAGGGCGAGCGCTTTAAGGAGATGACGGCAATCAACAGCTCCCTGTCCAACCTGGGCATCGTCATCACGGCTCTGGCCAACAAGGTCTGTATGCAGGACTTCAGAGAGGCTGCGGTTTATCTTATGAGTCCGTAAAGCCTTGGATTAATGGTTTATTTAGACCCTACATCTAAATACTACCATTCAGTATCCATTCTGCCTGTGACATCCATTCATTCTGTTTGTGTTCCAGGACATTCACGTGCCATACAGGAACTCCAAGCTGACGTACCTCCTGCAGGGCTGCTTGGGAGGGAACAGCAAAACGTGGGTTTTTCAACAGAATAGCTGGCTGTCTGTTTTGGTTGTGTCACTCAAGCTCTAGGCAGTAGGCTTCTCTCTGCTATCACTTGTCAACATTTAGAGCTTGGCTGAGCAGAATAATTATGACTTTATCATCTTTGGTAATGGTTTGCTGGTTTTCAAATTGGAAAGGAGTCCATTATGAGTTATTTTATTCTAACAATGTTTTTTGTCTTTTTCTCATCTCAGCTTGATGTTTGTGAACATTTCCCCAGAGCCGGACAGCTTTGGGGAAACGCTCAACTCGCTGAGGTTTGCCAGCAAGGTACGTGTCAAATATGGCTGGTTAATGTCTTAATGCACAACTTCACTATATTAATGCTCTGATGTGTAACTCTAGATCAAATACATTTTTTAGGGTATGTAAGAAATGTTCTGAGGAACCCATGTTGTCTTATACGGTTTTGTCATCAGCATGTTCTCCAAGTTATTTGATAATTGTTTAAGATAAATGAAAATACAGTAGTTCTTGAATAGACCAAAATGTATCTGAGCTTTTTTTCCAATATTTTTGAAAGAAATCTTGTTTTAACAAAATTACTCTTGAAATTCATTTGTAACCATGAAAAGAAAAGGGAAACAAATGTGTAAAGTGAAGTTATTAAACGAGTAAATAAAAATGGGGATATTTTACGTGAAATAATTTAAGAAAAGTGTGGGAATACAAAGAGACAAAAATAAAAGCAAGTAAAGTATTGTAATATAAAGAGAGAAATTAAATAGGGATAAGAATAAGGAAGAAAAGAGGATCAAATAAATACTTTATATATAAAAAGTATACAGGGAGTCTTTTGCAAATAAAAATGCTTTTAGTTATTCAATATGGAGTTTTATTTGGCAGTCATTACTTCACATGGAACACTTACAGACATTTTTATAATTGTGTCATAACTGCGACTGATTTTGACATGTGATTTATTTTGTTGCGTTCTCTCTCTTCGCAGGTGAACGACTGTGTAATCGGAACGGCAAGTGCCAACAAAAAATAGACCAAACGCTTTAAAAAAACAAAAAAACAAGCTCTTTTCTTATATTTTAATCATTATGTTGCCAGATTTAAATGTTTATAATTGTTTTCTATGCTTACACATTGTGCACATGTGTACATACGCATGTTTTTAGATGGTGATTTTTTTATGAACTTAAATTACCTATATTCTTTTGTGCCCGTTATATGTAGAGCTGCTCTTATAACTTGCACAAATAAAAGTTTATTTTGTCAAACCAATACTGTCATTGCTGATATTGTGGATTTCTATCTCTCTAACCACATGATCTAATAAAGACATCCTTTGTACATCAGTCAATCCTCACAGTAAATACAGAGCTAAATCCCAGATCAAATGTACGCTGAAGGCTCTTTGAGCATGTTTTCTCTCACTGATTGTGCTGTTATGTTAAATGTTGTTTGTGTTTCATGTATTGTGTCTGGATATTTGTCTTTTGATGTTGGACATGGAGCTGCTGTGACGCAAGTCAAATTTCAGACTTGATCTGACAAATAAAGTAATATCGTATCGTAGGTCCTCTTGCTGGTTGCCTTTTGGCTAGTGCTTACCATGTGCTTACCCAACTCTGAATCACAAAATGAATAGGTTTTGAGAAGTTTGTCATGACCAATGCCGTTTTTTGACTTCATAGATGCACTTTAGTTATTTAAATACTTTACGTTACATTATTTCTTGTATGTTTGTCATTTGAACACTAGATGGAAAAAATATTATGGAAATGAAATTTACATATTATACAGCATATTGGCATTGTGGGTATATTCATCACATTACAGTTTTTACTCACTATTTTAAATAATCTTTAGCTTTCTTCCATTACTGTTTTACACTTTGACGCTGTATTCCAATGTTTATTTTCCATTGTTTATTGGATGTATTTTCTGTCGGCTGAAGTCTGGCTCGTCTGTCTGGAATCCTTTTAAAGGCGACGCGTCGCTGTCTGTCTGCCGCTGCAGGAGAGCTCAGATGGGAAGAACATTTGATAAAAATGGTCCCCAAACTTCAGGGCCTGGATAAACCGGCAGGACACCCTGCCGTCCGCTCGGACAGAGACTGTACTTCTGAAGGCGGCAGTGTCAACTAGAAACGGTGAGTTTAATGTCCGCTGCGGCTCATGTTTTCTGTAGCCAGCCGCCTGCTAGCTAGCAGGCTAACGTCACATCTGTATGATAAGAGTGCAACTGTTAGTCTGCTGTCTGGAGACACAGCCAGCAGACTAACATTTTCACAGCAAAGCCAGCTTTCATTTCAGACCCGCAGCTCTTCTTCTGTAGCTTGTCCGTTACTAAAAAGTGTTTTTTTTTTTAACTCCAGCTGTTGATTTCCCCCATGAACTAAAAATAACACAATAACAAAGTGGCGTGTGGGTCATATATGTGATGTGGGCAGTTCCTGTTCAGTAATGAATCACGTGATGTGTTCTTGTTCTCTGTGAAGTACATAATGACACTGTTGATCTGAGTTTTTTTTATAATTGTCATTGTGTTCTCAAAGTGCAATCAGTTCAAATCTACAATGGTGCTGCCTGATTTAACTCACATGCCATACAATACAAATGCATATATAACTAAGCTGCTAATAAACAATGTGCAGCAGAGGCTTGCTGCACAAAGACACTCTGTTTCTGAGCTTTAACAAAGACACTTCAAATTGACACTTAAGGTTAGGGCTGCACTTCTTCTGTCTCAAGTAGGACTAATTTGCAGTGTGTTCTGGGTAAATTATGAGGCTTCCTTGATTGGCCACTGTCTACTCTGCATTTAAAATCTGCTATAAATGATGTGATCAAGGATGACACTCTTAACTGCAGAACTAATCTGGGAGTCCTTTTACTGTTTGAGAATTAGTCAGGTTGAGAAATAATGCTGAGTTTTAGATAATAACCTGAATGTGGGTATTTTGAGCTATCAATTTGAAGGGTGATTGTTCAAATGTAAGTGTTTAGATTAAGATTACTGCCTTATGTTTGCTTAAAAGGGCAACTTCTGTACTTGTTGACTTTACCAATGGGCTTGTATCTGAGTGTTAAAGTAAGGTTTAACCGACCACCAGTTGCAAGCTACATTAGGGCACTGTAATTCAACAGTTGTGACATCTATAACGATTTGTAGAATGGTGTTGATTCAATTTAAGTCATTTTAGAATATACAGATTGCGGAAGTGTTGAATCATTTGCATTATTTATACTGTTGTTTCTTTTGGTCCACTCCAATATTTCAAGAAGAAAGTTGTATTAAAAGACTTGAATATGCAATTTATTTAACAGCACCAGAAACTAGTTTAACAACAAGCAGTGGATTGACAGAACATTAATCAGCAGTTATTGAAGATTAACTAATGATATGTTTCGAGTCATTTTCTAGTCATGTTTTATATCATTTTATACTAAATACTTTTATGTTTTGGACTGTCAGTCCGACAAAACAAGACATTGTTAAAAGATGTTCCTTTAATCTGCGTGAAACTAAGTCAGAAATGTTTATGTTTCCAGATTTTCTATAGAATAAAGTATTACTAGATCGATCAAACACTAAGGAAAATCATTATTATCATATTCATTATTTTAATAAATATTGAACCTTCTCACTGTAATGAATGCAGATTTTATTGTTGGATTGTTTTTTCTTCATATCACACTAGTTCAATCCAAAAATACCAAATAAATTGTGAGTATCTCGCTTTATTAATTCTGGGTTTAAATGAAAATGGGTTGAGAATGGCAGTCATATGACATTTACACAGGTTATTCACACATATCTGGATTTTTAGAAAGTCCTCTGATCAATTTGACACCTTTTTAATCTCACATCCTGACATCAAGCCTATGGTATTATCAAGATAATAGTATAAACTGTCCAGCAGTAAAAAAAAAAAGGAAACAATCAAACCAAATCTAAAAAAACAAGTTTAAACTGGCAGTCATGACAGTGTTCCTGCCCCCCAGATGCAGTCCCTGCCCGTGGAGGTGGGCAGCAGCAGCAGCAGCAGCAGCAGCTCCGCCCCCAGAGACACATCTGGCCCGGTGGTGCAGGTGTGCTTCCCCAGCGCTCAGGGCTCGGTGCTGGGCAGCCTGAACCAGCAGAGAGAGGACGGCCAGCTCTGTGACCTCTCCATCCACGTCCAGGGTCACGTGTTCAAAGCCCACCGCTGCGTGCTGGCCGCCTCCTCACCATACTTCCATGACCAGGTGGGAGATTAAGCTGCTGATGATATCTGGTCAGAATAAACACATCAAAGCTACATGGAGTCATACTCATTCATTTCTGATCTGCACCATGTAGGAAATGTGCCAAATAATGAGATTCAAAGGCATGCATCCTCCCTGTTTCTAAGCATGTATACATACTGGCAGTTTGGTTTAGCCTGATTTAGCATAGAAGGATTCAAAGAAAATTGATATGACTAATGATTCAAAGGGAAATATTTGACTTGATTAGCCTTTTTGGATATACTGTACTGGGAACGTTTATAACAGGACATGCTGCTCAAAAACATTTTTTTTTTAAAACAATTAAAGGAACAGAGACTTAATTAAATAGAATGCCGGTTAAGATGAAATGCTTAATGTTGCCAAGAACGCAATAATTAATCATTAAACAAATGGTCATTCAGAAACAGCCTGAAGAACTCCATGTGATGCATGCACATTGAAAGTAGTGGTGCAAGAAACATTTGACATTAAAGAGATTTGTTTTGTAAAGCCATATGGGCCATACTCTAATAGTATATATGTGGCATGGCTTTTCTAAAGTTGACAGCATAGCTGAACATTCTCCTGATTATATAAATAACATCAATTTGAAAGGATTCATTTCCCATCACGATAACTCTAAAAAGAAGAAATTGGAGAAGTAAGCTGTTGGGAGGAGGTGTGGGAGAGGCAGGACAAACCCTACACAAATGAATTCCAGGGACCTATCATCCTCATTGCCAGGTTCATATTTGTATTGTGTGCCTCCACTGTGAGATGTCTCCACGCTTTAATGTTCAAAAAGCTCTTTATTTCCCTCATACTGCCTGTTCTGCAGCTCCTCTTTTCACCCTCTGTCTGAAACCAGAGCCCAGTCTGCTCTGATTGGTTAGCTGGCTGGCTCTGTTGTGATTGGTCAACCGCTTAGAGATGCCCCTTAGCCTATCACGTAAAATGTGTTGGAGTGCTAGCCAATAGAACTGGATGTTACATATTGATGTAATTATGTAACGGAAGTAAACAAAGAAGTCCAATGGAGGTGTTTCAGGCGGGGGGTGGGGAGAGAAACTCCCTCTGGAGGGATCTTTAGGATTTTAGTCTGTGCAGATCATTTACATTCACAAATACCTAGATAACGCACTTCAGGAAAGAGAAACCCAAAAAAGCACAATGGGGCCCCTTTAAAGTATTGTGATGTATCCCCCCCACCACCAGGTGCTCCTGAAGAATATGTCCACAGTCTCCATCCCGGCTGTGATGGACCCGCTGGCATTTGAGAGCGTTCTGAGCTGCGCCTACACCGGGGAGCTCCGCATGCTGCGCGACGACATCGTCAATTACCTGACGGTGGGCAGCGTCCTGCAGATGTGGCACATCGTGGACAAATGCACCGAGCTGCTGAGGGAGGGCCGGGCAGCAGCGGGCGGAGGGGGAGGAGGGGGTGCAGGAGGAGGAGGAGGAGGAGGTGTGCAGGACGGGGTCAGTGTTGGAGGAGGAGGTGGAGGGTTCGCTAACCTCGGATGCAGCAGCAGCAATGGTGAGGGTATGGCAGGCGGGGGTAACAGAGCTGGTAGTGATGGTGATGTGGGCGATGGAGTCCCGCAGGTGGTGGGGTCCAAAGAGCCGCAGCGTGCCTCCCTCCCCCCCAGCCGCCCGTCAGTGAGTGAGAGTCAGTCCCCCAGCAGCACCAACTACTTCAGCCCCAGAGACGGGGGCGGGGCAGCCGCAGCCGGGGCCTCAGCTGACCGAGGCGGGGCCAGCAACACCCCCAGCTACTGCACCCCATCAGGAGGAGAGGAAGCCTTCCTTATTGAGGAAGAGGAGGATGACTTAGAGGATGAAGAGGAGGAGGTGATGTACCACCAAAGGAAGAGAGGAAGAGGAGGAGGCAGCGGGAGGAGGAAGAAGATGAGCTCAGTGTCGGAGCAGGAGGTCGGGGTCAGTGACAGCTTTGGCGTGTCTTCCTATCAGGTGAGGCACCTTGAAGTTTATCTGGAAAGCTCTTATTTTGGAAAAAAAGGAAGTCATATTTTCAGTCTTCAGCAGTTGAAAAAAATGGACTTAATAATAATACATTTTATTTGGGGGGCGCTTCATAGGACTTCACTTTTAAAGGTCCCCTATACTCTTTTTCAACAATATTATAGGTCTCAGATACATACAGGACATGTCTCTGAAGTGTTTGCCTCGATACAGATCATGCATCGTAGCATGCCCCTCTGTTTCAACCCTGTTTCAAAAGTGCTGATTCTGTATCTGTTGCTTTAAATGCTAATTAGCTGCCGCTGCACATGCCCCTTTGGAAAGTCATTGGTTAAAAAAATACATTGGTGCTCTAGGAGGAGATTCAGGTGATAAGGTTACCGTTTGGTTATTGGCTATTGGCTAATGGTTGCCCAATACAAAAAAACAGTTGTGATGTCACAACGTGGCCAAACATGATTAGCTTATTTTCGGACAGGTTTTATAAACAGGTGGATCAGGATAAAAAGAGACAATCTTTTTTCCTGACACTAAGCGAATCCCTTAACACACTGGGGGGACATATTTGTGTTTAAAAGACATAAAAAAGTAATAAGGTGACCTTTAACATTTTGTCTGTCAACAGTTGATGTTGATAAACAGTATTTTCATCTTTGTTGAACAGATGAATATGGTTTGTTTTGGACTCACAGTCATGGAGCACTATCTAAAGAGGAACATGGTTTTATTGTATGGAGCATGTTTTATTGTCCCATTCAATATATTTTTTCAAAGATGGTATCTAGAAAATGTCATATATAGAAAGACCTAATGTATTTTTTAAATAATTTTGATGTTAATCGTACTATTGCAAAAAGGAATTAAGGGCCATCGGGAGCTCAACTTTTAATATTGGTCTTAACCAAATGTAGCATTGTTATTTATAATTATTAAAATGGGATTAGGGTCCTTTTTTTAAATGAAAACTGTAAGTTCAATAAAACACTTTTGGAAGACTCCATGGTAGTCAAGCATCTTTTCCCTCATCCTTTTGATTGTAAATGATAATAATGCTAGGTTTTCATTGACAACATGACTAGCTTTCCCTAACTGTTTATAACAAGCATTATCTCTGACAGGACGGGGATCACCTGCTGAGGCGTCCTGCCTACAGCCAGCCCAGCATCATGCCTCGCAAACAGTGGGTGGTGGTGAAGACCGAACGCATGGAGGACGACGACCTCATCGTGGTGTCCGGGGAGGAGGGGGGAGAAGACGAGGAGGACGAGGAGGAGAGGGAGATGGAGCTGGCCCGAGAGAGGGAGAGAGGCAACTTCAACATCTCCAACGTTAGGAGCCTTTCAGCCGACCTGCCAGCCAGAGCAGGGAGCGACATGGACTCACAGGTGAGCTGAAGTCACTCTAAAGGCACATTGTGAAGAGATTCATGAAGTAATTCCATTTCTATTTGTAAAAAAAATGTTTGGGAGTTCATTTGCCACCATTAAGGGGCGCCAACGTTTCAAATTGCACACATAGAGGTTAAAACAGCTTCTCTCTGCATCTGAACTTTATTTTTTATAAACCTTTATGGATGAATGCAGCATATAAGACTTGCCCTGCACTGAGTGTCCAACTTTCAGGTGTTAGAGAAGTCTTTTAAACACTGGAGATGAATTCTGAGTCTAAGTTTGAAACATGCAAAATCTATGCATTTAGACAGGTTCAACTCCCCGTTCTCCTTGTGTCCCCCAGGTGGACTACTGCCAGTCTTCAGAGGACTACCTCAAGTTTGAAGGCAGTTTAATGGACCAGACTCTGGCTCAGCACCTCCATGACAGCGCGGCGGGTCAGAGCCAGAGCGCTAACCGAGCCGTGTCGGCACTGCTGGGCCAGGTCCAGTCTGCAGCCTCGGCCCGGGCCCAGCTCTTCCCCCTGGACATGCAGGGGAACCAGATCCTCCTCTACAGCCAGGCCTCCGGGCTCTCTCTGGACGGGGCCCCCCCTCCCCTGGGGATGGCAGGCGGTATGATGGGAGGAGCCTCTTTCAAAGGGCCCAGTCTGGAGCACGGCGCAGTCCATTTGTCAGTGCAAGGCGGCCTAGGAGTCGACGGCATGGACTGTGGGGGGATGGGAGGTGGAGGTGGCGGCAGTAACAGCACCACCGGGGGTTCTGGGAAAGTGTTTATGTGCCACTGCGGTAAGACCTTCACCCACAAGAGCATGAGGGACCGCCACATCAACATGCACCTGGACCTGAGGCCCTTCCACTGCCCCGTCTGTGCCAAGAAGTTCAAGATGAAGCATCACCTGACGGAGCACATGAAGACGCACACGGGCCTCAAGCCGTACGACTGCCTCGGCTGCGGAAAGAAGTTCATGTGGCGCGACAGCTTCATGAGGCACCGCTCACACTGCGAGAGGCGCGGCGCGGCGGGGGAGGGCGGCGAGGGAGGGAGCGGCGGCGAGGGAGGGAGAAGAGTGGGAGGGGAGGATGGGCACGATCTGATGTCCTCTCCTCACCTCCTCCTGTCTGCAGGTGAGGGAGGACAGGGCGGGGTTCTGGGAGGAGGGGGAGGGAGAGGAGGCGTGTCGGTTTCTTCTCAGCATTTTTCCAACAGTGTTCTGTCGCCAGCAACAGGAAGCATCTGCAACGGTGTGAACAACATGGCCGCCGCGGGGGCACTGCTAGGGGTCTCCCAGAGTCAGGGCGCAGGGATGTTTGCCGCTCTAGGGTTGGGTCGAAGTGTGTGTGAAGAGGACGTGTGTGAAGTCAGTGCTAATGATAGCAGCGTGACCTAAAGCAGAAGTGTGTTAGGTCCAACGGGAGCCTCTTTGTCAGGTTTCTTGTTCCTGCTGCTGTTTTTAAATGATAGAAAATACACTTTTAACTGCCAACACCCAGTATTTCAAACAGGAAGTGGGTAGTTTGGCAAAGAATCGAGGCTCCTGTTGGACACAGGCTGAAGAACCTGAACATTTTTGTGGAAAAGTGGGACTCTGGATGCTAGTCAACTGCCGAGAAGTTTGTGAAACAGATCTGCGGTTGTGCCATCACAAGATGTCTTTCTTCCTAATAGTAACCTCATTAAAGAAGGACCTTTGACTCAGTGAGTAAGCTATAGTTTCAAAAATCCCAGAAGTTTACTTTTTGGAAGAATGCTTTGCGTGTTGAGTGGAAACCAAAAATGAAGAGACAGTGCTTCACTAGCTATCAGTAGAGTCAAACAAATGGCTGTTCTCATCTGCTGTTCTGCAGTGATGTATTATAAGGAATCACAGTCACATGATTGTATTCAAACAAGCCTACAGGAGAAAACACTCTGCACAAAAGAAAAGAAGTGCTAAAGTTGCAGGTACATTTTCTCCTCAGTTTCCTATGTAACAACCTGTTAGCACTGCCATGTTGTTTTGAGACTCTACGGTGCTGCTTTACCTGATGCCCAGACTGGATTACAGTGAAAGGAACAATCTAGTTTCCTCATCACAAGGGAACACTGTTTGTCTTTCGGCTGCTTATTTACCAACCTGTACAGCCTGAAAGCTAAAGTCCACCATTACTTTTTTGTTTAGACTGAATATTACGTAGTTAAAGTAGCAAATGAAAAGAAAATATCTGTTTTTAACACAAACACTACCTGTACCTGATGAGTTCAACACTTGCCCTGTGGAGATTTAAAAGCAGGAGGAAGTAGCATTTCTCATTGCTTTTACTTTCTAGTTCTCATGCTTTGTGAAATATATTATTACTTTAAATATATAGGAATATATGTCATCAGACCTGGGACAAATGCTAACTAGTAGTACTGGTGCGTTTGCTGCAGTGTGGTCTGCTTTAGAAGTGAGTTAGCTGTAGAGAAAGGGTTCTGCACTGCCTAAAAACATTATCTTAACCCACAGTGCGTCTCTCTGATCATTCAAAGAGGATTATTTGAAGCTAGCAGCGGTAGATGGTGGTCTTATTTAAGCTATACAGTGTATAGTGTGTTTACAAGTGTACCTCCTCTGAATGGCTGACAGAACAGAAGTGATGGAGCCACATTAAAAAAAGGAAGCCTTCTTTTTCTCAGTAGCTGTAAGGCATACAAAGAAGTCAAATAGCTCGTTTTTTCTCATTAGATTTCATTTATTTGACTGTATATTTTTTTTTGTTGCGATATCTTTAACAGTAGAGTAGAGTAGTGCAGGTTGACGTTGACTTTTTATTGATCAGAGGTCAGCAGTTCCTCTCTGGTCGTATTTATAAGCACTTATTTTGGTTTTGGTCCAACACCTAATATAAATAATTTAAAGATGGGTTTGATTCACATAAAACACATTTTCCAGATGAATATATTAATTTCAGGTAACGTTAAGATAAGCGACGCTTTGATTTCACTTTGGTGAAGTACCTACAGAACACTTTTATTCCAGGAACATGCTCAAAAATATATAACGAGTCAAACATGCTGAATATTCTATTTAATTTTCAGTGACATATTAAATGGAATTACAAAAAAAGTGTATCGTTGTTCACAAAAAAAAAAGTGCTCTCAAGATGCCGAATAACAACTTGTGTAGTTTAAACCTCACAGGAATGTAATGTCTTTATAGAGGTACACTATATCATGTTATCGATTACAGTTACAGCTATATTGCAAAAATATTTGTTCACCTCCACCTTGTTTTTCATTTGAAATGATCCAATTATCATTTTAATAGTAGTTTCTCTTTATCATCAAGACACTACACCCTGTTTATTTACATTATAACATGTTTTACAATGTGCTGTGTCTTTTTAAGGTGTAATTCACATTTGAATAGATCAGCCTGTTTTAAATGAACTATAGACAAATATGGTTTTATGTTTGTGATGAAATAATATTCACTTTCAGAAAGGCGGTGATTTAGAGATAATGCTAATAATGTGTGTTTTTAAGATGTGTGTCTGTACCAGTGTAGCTACAGGACAGTGAGTGCTGAACGAAATATGACACATGACCTCTTTAACATTCGACATGCCTTCAGAGATGTTTTACAGTTGCGTAGAGCAAAGAGATAAGTGATCGATATGTTTTACCTTCTGTGAAGTCTCGATATGGATATTTTTTTACAAAGGTTTGGAGCCGGGACAAAATGAAAGGACTGTTTGTATGTGTTCAGTGTGACCTCCAGTGTGTCCTCTATGACTGCTTCTGTTGTGTTTTTGTTTCACATTCGCTCTGTTTGTGTAGTCCTCCGCTGAACATTTACAGAGAAAACACAGGATGATTGTTAAAGGAGAACGTGGCCGTGACGGGGCGGAGCGTGGAGTTATCTGAAGGACCCAGAAAACAACCATACAGAAAACTGACTGCCAGGGAACGTACGTGAAGCGACGTCCGTTTGTGATGACGCTGCACGGCTGATCGTCTGACACCAGCCAGATCAGTGATGCGCTGCATCGTCCTATCAGTGGAGCGATACACAGTAAGGGGGCGGGGCGAGTGTCAGAGGATTTCACCGGAGGATGGTCTGGTAGTTCCTTGATTGTCGCCCCTTGTTATCGATCCTCGGTCCTCCGGCACAAATAAAGCCACTGGGACGGTACTCAAGATGGTGCAGACAAATCCATTTCCGGTGATACCGAGGCCGAGGAGCGAGGAAATGAAAAATAAGAGAAGTGAAACGCACCCCCAGATAGTCATAGGTTACCTTCCTGTGTCATGAAAACTGGCACAGATTTAAACTTGGATTTTAGAGAAAGACCAGCAGTTATCATTTTATTAACTGAGTGATGTGCACAGCAAGAGTTCACTATTTGTGACAATTACAAAAAATATGAATTGTGCCAAATCAGGAAGTGTATATTCAACTTCTTAAATGATGATAAAAACTAGACCCAAAACCAAGAGTTTTTACTTTTATTTAGTTTAAAAGTGTTATTCATTGAAACGAATCCCATGATGGGCGTGTAGTTTGTATGTTTTCAGCAGCTCTGAAGCACACTGAACCGTTTTGAACAAACATACAGTTTACTCTAGATTACAATCAGTCAGATGGTTACTCTTGCGCCTTGTGTTATTTGAATAAGTGATAGAAGAGCTTTGAGATATAAAGACGGTAGGATGTGTGTACACGGCTGAAAGGTGTCGCTGAATACTGTATTAAGGTATTTTAATTATTTTTTTACATTCCTCAAACTGTTACATAACATTTAACATGTCTTCTGACCAGTTGATTGTTGAACAGAAGATGACGGCTGTCTATAGACATTTCGATGTAAATCCTGAGTGGTACTAATAATATAATTATACGACAGATCAATATTCACCTCTGCTCTGTATCAAAATAAAGGATTAATACATTATTTGGTGAGAATAATGGACTTTGTATGTCTTTCATTTCTATTTAAATCTTGACAAATATAAATACATCTTTTTTTCTTACTATAAAAATGTATTTTGAAGAACAAGTCTCATTAAGAAACAGAGGCTGTAAACATTACAAAAATATCATTTATTTATCAAAATTGAAAAACAAAACAATTTTCACAGTGGATGGATCACCTCTCTGCATAGATGAGGCCTAGTATCTGTGATAACTAAATTCCTTTGAGAAGTCTGCTTACTCCAAAATGTAATTTTCAATCGGAAAATGTATAAACATTGGATTCAGGGCAAAAGACAGACATGGTTGCACTCACCCAAGAGCTTAAGGGCTCCATTAAATGAGGACAGGACAACTGGTTGTGATAAAGGGAAATAATTAATCAATAGCTGGAGATCTTAAGTTCTACATTGTATTTTACAACGAAAAAAACGTCTAAAAATTCCAGAAAACTCACAAAAGACATAATTTTTTTTTTTTTTTTAATTTGTTTCAAGTTTAATGGCCAATCTTTTTTCGGAATACACAGTGTAATGACATGTAGGAACAACTCTGAAAATAATAGCTAGTTGAATGAAACCTTATCAATGTATGGATCAGAATAAAAGTTTGGTGAGTTTAGCTTTGGGCTTGGTTTAATACACTTCGTTATAGGGGCACATGTCCAAATGATGAGTGTCGTACTTAGACAGAGCAGAATCAAATAAGATTATTTAACTTGATCCCTATCTCTTTTGTTTTGAGTCATCTCAGTCATAAGAGTGTGTGCTTTAGTTCCTTAAAGGATAAGGCCTTAGTCAACAAATACCATTCAAAGACCAAAACCACTAATGTGTTCGTCCATCTTTATCCTTTAGGTTACTGTGATTTTGTTTGGGACTATTTTTCGCTGCGGAATAGTAGAAATATAAAACTCTATTGAATATTTCAGGCAGCAGCAGGACAGCATGTGGGTCCTAAGATAAACGACAGTCCATGTTCAATTTAGAGAAGGAACATGTCACCCAGCGCCACAGTGGGGCTCTTTTTGTGTAGCTTTCGATAGATTTTAGACACAAATGTGTATCATTCTTCCGTACAGAGTTTAGTAACAATTCTCTGGGGGTTGGTCTTTTCATGGGATGTGTTAACAATAAGTAAAATAAAGAATATTGCTTGCACCTTAAAACCTTTCTATATTAGCCTTGTCCAAATGTGTCATTTTAAAATGTCAAAACTCAGATCTATATAGATTTCCTGCAGGATCCATAGATCTCAATACAAATATTAACATTAAACTTTATCATAAACCTAAAAATAAAAATATGTGTTGAGATAAAACATAAAAAACATTTTGTTTTAAATTGTTGTCCATAATCACTGCCGGTCTCCAACCGGAGAACACAGCTCACTTAGTCCACGCACATCACAGGTAAAAAATAAAACAATGTCAAAACTCCTTTTTAATCTCCTCT